TTTACCTAATTAACAGTTGACGAAACTTTAAAGAAATATTCTTCGTTAGTATCACTTGCTTCTGGCAAATTTAATCTGATATAATCAGATTCGTTAATGATTTTTCATATGATCGAGTCCATTTTCATATTGAACGTTTACTATAATCAGCCAATCAGATTTTAAGGATCGACAACCAATCAGATGGATATTTAATCATGCTTATCATGCTGCTTAACGCGTCTTTCCCCTAGACCTAAATTTACGCGATGACTTCGGATTACCGGAAAAAACTCATTAAAGCAGGAGTTGTAAATTACTGGAACCGAAAGTTGGTTTCTAAAAATATTGGATTGTATAATTGTCTTCGTCAGATCGATAATAAGTTGGTTTTAAAGCTGGAAGAGAGGCCACTAGTTCATGCAATCTATTTTCATTATGTCTCAAGTCTTTCCCAGGAGCAATCGATAAATCAACAGTTGCGAAACAAAGTTCAGGTTGAATGCAGGGATTTTGCGGTACGTATGCAAACATAACATTGAAACGAACAAAAAGTTGCGAGCTACTAAGCATTTTTCTCTACTCTAGACAATAGCAAACTCCTCCGAAGTGACGGGATTCTGGGAAAATAAGAAAGAAAGGTTCTATAGACAAACGTTAGATGATCATACACGAAAAGAAAAGTTGTATTTGAGTTCCACTCATCTCGCGCAGTTACAAGACGAAGTTGTCAACGAAGAGAAGGATGAATTTTATACTGAAGATAATGAATACTATGGAGATTCTACTATGTCAACAACGAGTACTCAAGCATCGATTGATGTTTCCATGCCTACAACGAGTACTCAAGCATCGACTGATGTTTCCATGCCTACAACGAGTACTCAAGCATCGACTGATGTTTCCATGCCTACGACTAGTACTCAAGCATCGATTGATGTTTCCATGCCTACAATAAGTACTCAAGAATTGATTGATGTCTCTATCCCAAATGAAGATTCAAAGTTTGTTGAAAGGAATGAACCGGAGAGTGTAGGACGGATTAAACACTGGACTTTATCAAGTGGAACCGATGTAGGTCAAGTATTAGCTGACTATAGATGCAAAATTCCCGAATCACAAAAATGTCTTGAGTGAGTTTTTTTCATCTTTGCGTGGTGATTGCGTGATAATTGTAATATTTACTTTTTGGTTTTGTAGCCCCGTTTATTGGGGAATTCTCGATCTTACAGGCTCCCACCAAGAAACAAAACAATTATTCACTACAGATGATTGGACTGAAATGTTGAAAAGCTTCGAAGACGAGATAGAGATTATTAAAGAAGACATACCTGACGTTATATATTTGTTTTTCGACGAAGTACAACAGGTAATGATGATCAATTATTTGTTACATTTAGAATTCGCTCACATTATTCATTCGTTTCAGATTGTAAAGAATAATGAAAATGGTGAAGGCATTGCGACAGCAATTGACGGGATCTCTTTTCGGGAAATAGAAGAAAAGTACAAAATCACTCTCAGTTCACAAGATATAGCTTATATGATTGAAATAAAGAGAGCGGTCCTGACATAGTAAGTAAATTGTGAAATGAAATATGGTCACTTGCCTTTAGATAACTTAATTCTCTTTGGTTATTATTTTACAGCGCGGAGAATTTGCTCAATATTGACTTGCCGGTTTCAGAGTCTGATTTTGACAACTTGTTTACAAATATGCTTACGAGAAGATTTCTTGACAAGACCGAATTAAAAATGGACGCGTAAGTTGAGTGCTTTAATAATTTCAAGAAACTATGACAGTCGATGATTTTTGTTTACTAATCCCTTTCCGTACATATATTTCTTTAGAGGGGAGATCTGCTCCTGGGCTTCGGCTAAACGACGTAATGAAGGTCGCTCAATCACACTTCGTGCTCGAGTTGGGCAAAAATGCTATTTCCGAGGGATGCTAAAACATAGTATCAACAAACTAGAAGCGATAATAGGCCTCCGAAGTGGCGGTCTTCCAGAAGCTCATTCAAAAAAAAATTTTGTGGACTCTATTGACCTATCTATAACAATGAGAGACATCCTCTATACATTTTTCAATTCTAATACGAACGCTCCGGATGAAGACTTGCACAAAATGTTTGTTTTCGGAATCAAATCATGGGGTAAGCAGAAAGTTGTCACAAAGTAAACCTTATTCATAAATATTTTTAAATATTATACTCTATTTTAAAGGCTGGACACATCAGATTCTTGCAATGGATTGCAAGGGAACAAATATTTGTAGGTTTGGAACTTTGTGCACAATAGCCTTACCAAATTCTGCAAAGACTCTTGCATGTTTGGAAAAGTTCTATGTAGAAATGAAAAACATCAAGGTACTTCCTAATTTGTATGTTACTACTTTATAAATTTGTTTTTACCGTGCATTACCGTTTATGAAATTACAGGCTACTCTAAACTCCATATGCAATAAAGCCAATGATATTGCTCTATCGCATGCTCGAGCACACAGACTACATAGAAGAAAACGAAACGAAGAAGACCAAATAGAAAATGCTGATGTTGAGGTTGGGGGTTGTTTTGGTAAAGTTACTGGGACCCCTAACACAAAAAAGTCGCGATGTTTGGTGCTTTCATGTACTGATAATATTAATTTTTCAAGTTAAAACTATGTTAACTTGAAATAGGTAGTATAAAATCTTTAGCCTACATAAGTTCCCCTTATGTTATCAGCTTATACAATATGGAATTTGTTTTTGGTGGTGCTTTTCTTTACTGACTGACTTGTAACTGTCCGATTGTTTCACTTGAATATGACATATGGTTTATTGTTGATCGTCCATCTCATAGGAAGGTGTTTAGCGTTAGATTTGTTTGTGTGTTTACTAATGTATCGCTATAAACAATTTCTAAATGGCTGAAACATTTTTAAAATGGCATAAGCTTCGCTAATGACAATCGGGACCGCATCAGCAAGACTGGTTTCTGCATTTGTAGATCTTCTCTTGGTGTTTGTGTTTGGCAAAAGTGGCGTGACATAGCATGGCATATTTGTCTGTTCTCACGTCTTCTTATGCACCACCAATCAGCTTATTGCTGTTTTGGAGGTGTTGCCAGTTCCGACAGTTACATGTTTAAATATATTCACAAAGTTAATTGTTTCTCTTCTTTCTTTAGAAACGACCCGATAGTAAGCTATTATTAGCTTAATAAATAACAAGGTACTCAGCTATGGACAATAAGAAAAATGTATTTTGGGCTAAAGACCCGACTTGTATTTTAAATTGGATTAACTTTGATTTATTGTCAATAAAGATTTATTATCAAGAGTATTTATACATTTGTTTTTTTTATGTGGGTGGACGTGATTTTTTATGTATACGAAATGTAATATAACGTGCGAGAGGGCAGGATCGAACCCTACTCATCCAATTTTAAAGGTGTATCCCAACCTAATCTAATTGTGAGAGGATCATCAATTGCCTTAGTAAAATCGAAGACCACAAAATTTCGATCTCGCAAATGTTTGTCAATAATCTTGGATGCTGTTTTTGGATCATCCGTATATTGACGCACGATTCTATGGATATCGTCCCTGAAAAAATAAAGCGTATGCAATTCGCTATGCTATCAAAAATTAATGATCACAGATATTTAAAGTTTTGAGTTTAATCAATAAGACCTAATTCCCGAAGATGCTCTGGAATAACTATATATGGGTCACCAGATATACCTTAGTGCAATCCGGGTAACCCGCATAAGCATCACTTAACCGGGCCATGGTCATGCTAACTGGGTAACCCGGATAAAAAAAATAAAATAAAGCCTTCATATGATTGGCTAGTTTAAAATCAAGAAAAAATTGGGTCATAATACGTACTGTACGTTGAAGAGGGGCGAAATGGAATCTGTAATCCGAGGGTAGGTCGGGACGATGGTCTCACCAACTAATCTCTACAACCTACCACTAAACTAACAATAACCCTAATAGTTGAAGGCAGAAAGAGGTTGTGGAAGATTTGGTCCGGGTTTATCAGGGTCAAGGTCAGTTTATTTATATTGGGGGGGGGGTAATTGTGGATTAACGAATGTGATATCGGAGATTATTATGCGAAAGGTTTTGTTCTCAAATTCGAGATTTGTTTTTATTGAACTCTTCGTGAGCTGAGTTCCCTCTTTATTGAAGGAAAAGTGCAGCGCTTATATACCTTACAAGACTATAGTAAATACATTTGGGACTTAATTGATATTGTTGAAATATCAATTAAATCGGATTTTCTTCAAATAGTAATTTTAATTACTATTTGTCTAAT